GTTTTTGGCTCGCAGACATTGTCTATTAATAAAACCACCCCGAAGGGTGACAATTCGATCTAACTACCAATTATTACTTTTGTAGAAGGCCCGTCGTTTTGTGTTTGAGATAAGTTACTCACGTGGAGTTTTATTTTAACAAATAACTCACTTTCGTCTTATACGGGAAACTCATTCACGAAACACGTTCGTTCACTTCGAATACTCCGACACGAATAGCCAATATCTAAAACGCACTCATTTTTACCACATTTAAATTTTTCTTTATAATTGGATAAATAAAAATTGGCATAATTGGGCATGAACAACTGAATTATAATTATTTTTGGAAAATAATGCCGGGTTATTAATTTTTAACTTAACAGGTATGTTATTTTAAATAAAATGTTATGTATTTGGAGTAGATATGCATGCCGAAACTTAAAATTTCTGAGCCAGCTGACTGAAAAATTATAGTCTCCCTCTATATTCAAACCCCATTTAAATTTTTCTTTATAATTGGATAAATAAAAATTGGCATGATTGGGCATGAACAACTGAATTATAATTATTTTTTGAAAATTATGCCGGGTTATTCATTTTTTAACTTAACAGGTAAATTACAGGTATTTGGAGTAGATAACAAAAAAATATTATTTTTTCCTTATCATTCTGACAGATAATAGGTATCAAACAAGTTAATTCAAAACTTTTATTATTTAAATAACAACTTTTTATTATCTTTATTGGTATAAAAATAAATGTAGATTAGAACATTAGAACACGTTAACATGAAAGATCCAACACAATTTTCGCTGTTCAATAAAAACACTGCAACACGCAAAAGATTTTTTTTTAAATTACGAAGAACTGTTCAAATTTATTTTTCAACTTGTCAATAACATTGGGTTATAAATGTATTAATGTATCAAACAAGTGAAGCATTTAAGGTTTGGTTGCAACTACTGTTAGTACATCAAATGGATTACTATGTCTGCCGTCTTCATTTTTAAACTGGTTTAATTTGCCAATACAATCTTTAATGTACTGATCATGTAATTCCTTCGGAATGTGGTTCAAAAAGTGGTTAGCACCCACTAAAGTATCTACAAATTTTAAAAATAACACCATTTCAATAAAAATTTAAAAAAAAATACTTCGCAATAATTGGTCTTCTGGAAAAGAGAAGGAAACGGATTGCACGTCCATCACGTCTATAATAAACCCAGCTTTTGTTAAAATATCTGAAATTGTTTCTTTGGGATTTGGACCAAAATCAATAAATAAATCGGGAAGATTTTTTATGTACTGCGACCACGGCTTTGTTTCATCATTTTGTTGATCTGCCATGCAAATATTTACTATATTACGTGGGTCCACAATTATTGATGTAAATAATTGACCTTTCGGTTTTAGCATCTTATAGATATTAACAGACCATCTAAAACGATCCAAAATAAAAAAAAGCAACTAAAATTAATTTAATATAATACTCACAAATCAGGTCTTGGTAAAAGATGAAATAGGTAAAACGCAAAAATGTGATGAAACTTCTCAAGATTCTTTTCACATTGCTCACTATCGATTATATCCATTACTTCAAACGATAATGTAGACGTTCCATAAATTTTATTTGCTACATCTATAGCATGTTGGGAAATATCAGCTCCAATTAGATGTTCTAGATGAGGCATTACGAATGGATAGAGTGATTGTTTGGTAACACGCCCATCTGAGCAACCAATATTTAACATTATTTCATTATCAAACCATTTAAAGTGATCTTTATAGTTTTCTAAGAGCGAATTTGCTTGAATCTCCATCACGGTGCTGTAATTATTTTCAGAAAAAGTGACTGGGTTGAATATTGCTGGAAATAAAAAATTACATCAACCACAAAAACGAGAATGTTTTAAAGACTTCCTATCAATTAAGAAGTAAAACATTGTTATATTATTTATTGCTAATAACTTCTATTTACTCCTCTGTGCTTAAATATAACATTTTGTTGCTAGGACAGTTAAAACATTCATTTCGTAGAAATAATTTCCATTTTTTATGGTTACATGTTTAAACATCTTGCTGATGTAATCTTCTCGTATTTCTTTTGCAATATACACCAAAAAATTGTTCATTCTAATCGAAATCAAACTAAATTCTAAAAGTTGATTTATGCATTTATCGGAAGTTCAGTAGAACCTCGTTAGAACGGATTCTAAGGCACATTACTTAAAACATTTAAAATTTCACAAAGAATGATAAGGACTATGTAACATTGTTTTTGATCTAATCATAATCATCAGATAGAAATCGATAGATAATCTTCAATATAATCTTCTCTCATTTCTTTTGGAATATATACCAAAAATTTGTTCATGCTAATCCATGTATTTATCGAGAAAAAATTAATTCTTATTTTTCTGAATTAGTCTTAAGATTTATCGGACTAAAGCATTGTGTTCATATCAGACTAAATTCTAAAAGTTGATTTATGCAGTTATCGGAAGTAAAGTAAAACCTCGATATAACAGATCTTGTTAGAACGGACAAAATTCTAAGGCACATTGTTTAAAATATTTAAAAATTCACAAAGAATGATAAGGAATATGTAACATTGTCTTTGATTTAGTCATAATCATCAGATATCAGACAGAAATAGTCAAAATTATCTGAAATATTATTTAAAAGCCTTAGAAATTAACAGGGATTAATGAAAACTGTGCAATATAGTCTTTGATTCATTAAAAATCGTCAGATACCTGACAGAAACCTTTAGAGATGATTTAAATTATCAGATATCTGATACGAATCATAAAAAATCGTCTAAGGCACATTACTTAAACTGTGCAACATCGTCTTTGATCTGTTAAACATCGTCACATATCTGATAGAAAACCTTAGAGATTGCTTAAATAATCAGAAATCTGATATAAATCGTGAAAAATAGGCAAAATTCTAAGGCACATTGCTTAAAATATTTAGAAATTCACAAAGAATGATGACAACTGTTTATCATTGTCTTTGATCTAGTCATAATCATCAGATATCAGACAGAAATCGGTAGAGATTAGTTAAATTGTCAGAATCTTTAAATAAATAGTTGAAATTGTTAAAATTATCAGAAATGATACCTAAAAAAACTTAGAAATTGATAAAAACTGTGCAACATCGTCAAATATCTGATAGAAACCCTTCAGAGGTTGCTTATATTATCAGAAATATGATATAAATCGTGAAAAATCGGCAAAATTCTAAGGCACATTGCTTAAAATATTTAGAAATTAACAAAGAATGATGACAACTGTTTATCATTGTCTTTGATCTAGTCATAATCATCAGATATCAGACAGAAATCGGTAGAGATTAGTTAAATTGTCAGAATCTTTAAATAAATAGTTGAAATTGTTAAAATTATCAGAAATGATACCTAAAAAAACTTAGAAATTGATAAAAACTGTGCAACATCGTCAAATATCTGATAGAAACCCTTCAGAGGTTGCTTATATTATCAGAAATATGATATAAATCGTGAAAAATCGGCAAAATTCTAAGGCACATTGCTTAAAATATTTAGAAATTAACAAAGAATGATGACAACTGTTTATCATTGTCTTTGATCTAGTCATAATCATCAGATATCAGACAGAAATCGGTAGAGATTAGTTAAATTGTCAGAATCTTTAAATAAATAGTTGAAATTGTTAAAATTATCAGAAATGATACCTAAAAAAACTTAGAAATTGATAAAAACTGTGCAACATCGTCAAATATCTGATAGAAACCCTTCAGAGGTTGCTTATATTATCAGAAATATGATATAAATCGTGAAAAATCGGCACAATTCTAAAGCACATTGCTTAAAATATTTAGAAATTCACAAAGAATGTTGACAACTGTTTATCATTGTCTTTGATCTAGTCATAATCATCAGATATCAGACAGAAATCGGTAGAGATTAGTTAAATTATCAGAATCTTTAAATAAATTGTTAAAATGATCAGAAATGATACCTAAAAAAACTTAGAAATTGATAAAAACTGTGCAACATCGTCAAATATCTGGTAGAAACCCTTCAGATGTTACTTATATTATCAGAAATATGATATAAATCGCGAAAAATCGGCAAAATTCTAAGGCACATTGCTTAAAATATTTAGAAATTCACAAAGAATGATGTCAACTGTGTACATTGCCTTTGATCATAATTATTAGATATCGGATAGAAATTGTCAAAATTATCAGAAAAATTATTTAAAAATCTTAGAAATTAACAGCATTAAATAATGCGGCTGTCATCCAGGCATTTTATTGGGCATTATAATGAACAGGCAAACTTTTTAATATTCTTAAAAGCCCTTGGTTTTAGATTTGCATAGTTGACTTTTTTTCTCCTCCGGCTAAAATTGAAGTTTTTATTTAGCTGTCAGTGTTCGGTGTCTTTGATAATTTTGAATAATTCTTTCTTATAGTGTTTTGCAAATTCTTCATTTGCTGATTTTATTTCTCCCGTGACATCAAATTTTCGATTTGCATGCCGAAACTTAAAATTTCTGAGCCAGCTGACTGAAAAATTATAGTCTCCCTCTATATTCAAATCCCATTTAACTTTTTCTTTATAATTGGATAAATAAAAATTGGTATGAACAACTGAATTATAATTATTTTTGGAAAATAATGCCGGGTTATTCATTTTTAACTTAACAGGTATGTTATTTTAAATAAAATGTTATATATTTGGAGGAGATAACAAAAAAATGTTTGTTTTTAAATGTTTTTCTTATCGTTCTGACATATAATAAGTAGCACACAATTTAATTCAAAACTTTTATTATTTAAATAACAATTTTTTATCACTAAAACTTTTTATTATCAAAGAAAATTTGATTATAAAATAAACGTAATTCTTTAATTAAAATAATATAATCCTTGTAATAATAAACAAAAAATATATAAGTAATAGAAAATGAATTACCTTAAGTAATGCAGCAAGGTGTGGCAAAAATGAAGCAGCAATGCGGAATGTAGCAATTGCGGAGCAGCAATGCGTAGTGAATGCACCTTGGTACATTATAAAAGCCTTGATTTCCTTCGCGAGTTGAAAGTAGCATTGGTGACATCAGAAATTTGCATCATTCGAAATCTAAACATGCGAAGAGAGTACCCGTGCGACGATAGCAATAAACATTCCAGCAACAAACTTTTACCTGTAATTTCCTATCTACTTTCTTAGCTTATATCTTCCTTATTATTAGAGATAACGAAAAACTAAATGCACCACTTAAAAGCTTGAAGCTTTCTCTATCAAAAATCGGGGTTTCATCTGCCGATATTAAGATCAATAAAAAATGAAGAACCGCTCTGGACTTAAAATAGCTCAAAATTACCAAACTTCAGAAATCAAACAGAAAGAGCGCTCCTTCAACTATCTTAATCCGGTAAAAATAAGAAATTTAAAGATGATGTTAATTATTTAATTTTCAAATCGGTGCTATAATTGTTTCGGTTTCTTTAACCCTTTGTGTCCCGACGGTACTTTAAAGTACCGGTAGTTTTAAACGCTTATTTTAATCATTTTAAAAAGAAAACATTGAGCTTTAATTTAAAATAATTCTCATTCCTTAATTTTAATAAACACGGTTTCCAGAAATTTTTAAATTAACATCTTGTATGTTTTGTTTCAACATTTTTTTTCTTAATATTTTTCCAATCCAACCCATCAATTATTATACATCATTTTAAAAAGAAAGCTTTGAGCTTTAATTTAAAAGAAGTTTCATTTTTTAATTTCAATAAATACGGCTTTCAGGAATTTTTAAATTAGCATCTTTTTTGACACTTTTAGGTTATACGAAAATGTAAGTTTTATTTCAACATTTTTTTTCTCAATATTTTTCCAATCCAACCCAACAATTATTATACATCATTTTAAAGAGAAAGCTTTGAGCTTTAATTTAGAATAAGTCTCATTCCTTAATTTCAATAAATACGGCTTCCAGGAATTTTTAAATTAGCATCTTTTTTGACACTTTTAGGTTATACGAAAATGTAAGGTTTATTTCAACATTTTTTCTCTCAATATTTTTCCAATTCAACCCAACAATTATTATACATCATTTTAAAGAGAAAGCTTTCAGCTTTAATTTAGAATAAGTTTCATTCCTTAATTTCAATAAACACAGCTTCCAGGAATTTTTAAATTAGCAAATTTTTCACATTTTTAAGTTATACGAAAATGTAAGTTTAATTTTAATATTTTTTTTCTCCACATTTTTATGATACGACACAACCATTATTATACATCATTTTAAAGAGAGCATTGAGCATTAATTTAGAATAAGTTTCATTCCTTAATTTCAATAAATACGACTTCCAGGAATTTTTAAATTAGCATCTTTTTTGACATTTTTAGGTTATACGAAAATGTTAGTTTTAACTCAATACTCTTTTTCTGAATATTTTTCTAATTCAACCCAATGATTATTATACACCGATTTAAACAGAAAGCTTTAAGCTTCAATTTAAAATAAGTTTCATTTCTTAATTTCAATAAACACGGCTTGCAGGGATTTTTGAATTAGCATCTTTTTTGACACTTAGATTTCACATTTTCGTCGTTCTGTAGCTACAGGTCTGATAAATAAATATTCAAATTTACTGGTCCACGAAAATGTCGTAGCGCAATTTCAAAAGAAAGAGGAAGTAGTGAAAATTGTTCTGCCAAAGCTAGACCCCACTCAAAATGTACTGCGTGCAATGTTTATTTATGTTGTAATAAAAGAAAAATCTATTTTTCTAAATATAATGTGATTTAGCTATAGCAAGTGTTACTTATTTTCTAACGTAATGAAAAATGTATTATTTTTATATTGGCAATAAAAGATTTTGTTTACTACAACATCACTAAAATATATGTTAATGCCTGATGGTACTCTCAAGTACCATTATCCCCCTGGAATGGGGGGATTGCATATTTTGCGAAAATTGATTCCAAAGGTCTTTACTGAGTGTATTTTGATAGCGTTTTAATTCTGCCACAAAGTTTCAAAATTTTTGACTTCCGGGGACACAAAGGGTTAACAAAACCGTCTTCAGGCACCACTGTAAGAATAGAATACAAATATTTTTTCATACAAGTAGAAACTTATAATATAAAAAATCGTAATAAAAGATTCTGACCGTGTAAATGTCAATAAATTTAGAGGAGTAGCAATTATATATCATTTCAATAATCAAAACACTACACAGTTATTAAAAACATATTAAAATTTTTGGGTTGTAAAATTAAAAAATTACGTAACGACTAACAAGAAGTATCACGACTGTGTCTCACCGATTTCGATGCAATTTGGTACAGTCATAGAATGGGCCAAAATAAGGTTTGTACATTTTTTTATACGTGCGGTAAAAGACCCTGGGGCGAGTTTTAGGGGTTGAAAGTTTGGGGAAAAAGTACATTTTTGCATATATTTCGAAAACGAAAAGTGCTATCAAAATTTGGTAAATTGAAACTGATATTCATTTTTAATATATCGATGTTCCACGAGGTGAACTAGGTGAAAATATAAAACTACTAGATAAATAAGATATTTTATTTATTTATGAGTTAAAAAGCAACTGACAAAAAAAAATAAAAAAATGTTATTGATATAGGCAGATATACGCAGACTCCTCAGCTGTTCAAAGCATCTTATAGCTAGTTGCAACGTTTTAAGAAAGCAAACCGATTAGTAACCCGAAAAATAACAAAATTTCTATCCCGAAAATAAATTGGAAATGTTGATCGAGTAAAAACTTTAGCAAAAGATTTCGTTAAAGAGGAAACACCTACAATTCGGATCAGAGCGGTTTTAACTTGGAATTCCATACGGGAAGAACATTAAACGATTTAGGAGTTCAAATCGTAGAAAGTATGGTCCAGTCGGTGTCATCTACAATGCCCAACCCGTATAATATCTGCTGATGGGAAACTTCTTTCTTCACTTTTTAGTTAGACCTGGACTCAGATCACTCACCTGTACTTCTTACTCTAAATAACAAAGTATGTAACAAAGAGCCCTTTTTATCACAAACTAAGTTCTCAAAAGACATACCAAAGTCAGCCTGGGTTTCTATGGAAATATATTTTTGTATATTGGATCTTAACCCATTTAGGACCATAGTTGCGTTAACGCAACGTTCGCAAAATGATTTTTTTAATATTTAAAAGCATTGATTTTTGATCAGAAAAACACTTAAACTTTAAGAAGGATTTGAGCACACCTATGCAATTTTTTATCATAGATAATTAAACTTTTAAACGTAAATATAAATTAACAAAAATAGTGAAATTTTTAGCATGGTAATATGAATTTAAAAACATTGTAAAAAGGAACTCTTGTTATAATTTTTTTTTATCCTGAATGTTCTTTATATACAGCATACTTCACAGAACAAGAATGTGAAGGAATAGCTAATTATTTTTACAAAATCTAGTTTCCAAGTGACTTTGAAGTTGAACGTTGCGAAACGCAACATTGGGACCTAGCCACTACCAGTAGATATACATATGAATTGCATTCGTAAACTTGTTTGAAGTTGTTTTTGTGGCTGCAAATTGTTGGTTAGGATGGCATTCAGAGTCGTTTATTAATTAAATAAAAATTAGAAATTACCATCTGCAATAGAAAGAATATAATATATATTTTAATTATGTTTATTCGACGAGTCGGGTTTCATTTACGCCCCAAATTACGACAAAATTGGAATATTATTGCTAGTAATAAATAAAGCATTTAAATACATATTTTATTGAATTTAGGTAAAGAGAAGAAAAAGATTGTTTACGCAAATATAATTTTTGATACCTTTTTGATCGTTCCAAAGTAATGCTTAAAAAAGTTCACTATGTACATATAATATTATAACTTTTGTAATAAGTGTGGAAAAGTGAGTACATACATCACACAATATTGTGACTCAAGAACATTTTATTATGGTATGTACAATTTTATAGCAGTGTAAATATATATGCGTCAGGGTACATTTCCGACTTTAGACTAGGATCAAATATCAATATAATCCCAAAAGGCCTTTAATGCTGAAAGAACTTGAAGCAATTTTTGAAGATCTTGATCTCAACGAAGTAATTGATATTGCTTATATTTCACATGAAGTTGACAATTTGACCAATGAGGAAGATATTTAGAAGAAACTATCGGTCGAATATAAGATTTGCCATTTGATATTGTCGGAACATTTGAAATACCATTACCAGGGAAAATATGGTGGTTGCCATTTATAAATATGTTAGACTCCGCCATAGTAAATGCTTGAAAAATGCACAGGCAAACACCAATTTCTCAGTTGGATTTTAGATGGGAACTTGTAGGAAGCCTTATTAGTGTCAACAACAGTTAAGATACACCAGAGGACATGGTTCCACAATTTTTATAACTATAATATGTTATACATAATTCAAAAAACAATGAAAAGTGGAGACGACGCTGCAGGGTATATCAAAGCACGATAGTATTTATGGGCATCAAATGTAAATTTCCATTTACTATGGAGTTGGTCCCAATGTTGCGTTAACGCAACGTTCAAAAATCTACCAAAATGTATTAGTTCACTGTACATCAAATATGTTTATAACTAACTGTTACTTGTTTAATCATATCTTTTAGATTGAATTTGCCATAAAGTAATAAACAATGAAAATTATAAAACATAATATTACACAGTAATAAAGAAATATATTTTTCAACTTCTCGATAACATTGGGTTACAAATGTATTTATGTGTTAAGCAAGTAAAGCATTTAAGGTTTAGTTGCAACTACTGTTAGGACATCAAATGAATAACTATATTTGCCATCTTCACTTTTAGCTTGGCTGATGAATTTTCCAACAAAATCTTCAATGTACTCATCACGTAATTCCATCGGAATGTGGTTCAAAAAGTGGTCACCGCCCACTAAAGTATCTAAAAATTAAAAAAATAATACCATTCCAATAAAAATTTTAAAAAATACTTCGCAATAAATGGACTTCTGGAAAAGAAAAGG